AATAGTACAAAGTCTAGAGTAGTAACCTAGATTTTGCTAATAACTACCCATTCCTAGACCCTACCTAGCTACCCTACCTATACCTATACCTAGTCACGTGCTACCCTACCTATACCTATACCCAGTCACGTGCTACCCTACCCAAACCGTTTGGGTAGGGTACCTCGTGTACCCTGCCTAGTTCCTACCCATTAGTCACGTGACTATACCTATACCCTACCCTACCCTACCCATCCGCCAGCCTAGCTGCGTGGGCTAAAGGCTAGCACGTCACAATAGTAACATTAGATGTGCAAGGCGCCTTTAACGCTCTCCTTAAGAACTGCCTTCTGCACTAGATGGCCTAACAGGGCTAGCTACAAAGGACTATCCTCTTTGTTAACTCTTTCCTTACTAATCAAAGGGTCCAAGTACACCTAGGCCAAGCCACCACCCCTAGCCGCCTAGTCGCCTGCGGCACGCTGCAGGGCTCACCCCTCTCCCTAATCCTGTACACACTGTATCTGGCAGAGCTGCTGTCTATGGACACAAAGAAGAGATTTAGATACGCAGATAACATATGCTTATACCAAGCCTCACACTCCCTAGATAAGAATATTAAGCTCCTAGCAGCAGACCTACGACAGATTAGAGCATGGGGCACAGCTAACAAGGTCACCTTTGCCCTAGAAAAACAAGAAATGATCCACCTTACTTGACAGAAGAGCAGCTACGCACCCCCCTGTGTGATAGACGAGCATCACACAATTAATCTAATCTTGCTAAACACTTCAAGAACCTAGCCAGCCCTCTAATGGCTAGGGATCTAGTTTGACCACAAACTCACCTTTAAGCGGCATGTAGCCACGCACAATGCAAAAGCGGCCAAGGTAGCCTACTATATCCGCAGCCTAGCAAACACAGCCTACAGACCACCAGCTAGCTCCCTTCGCAAGGCTACCCTCGCCTGCGTATACCCGTCTCTTCTGTATAGGGCTGAGTGCTGGTACAGAGGCTGTACTAAACCTCCACGTACACTCAAACCTGGAAGACCAGCAGAAGTCAGTGCCTATGTTGGGTGGCACATAGTGGTTATGGACAAAACACTGGCTATAGCAGCAAGAGGGATCCTCCCGGTGTGGCGAACAACCCCTATTGCTACTCTCTTCCGAGACGCTGGACTACCCTCTGCTGCCACTGCACTGGAAGAAGCCAAACTCTGCTTTGCAACACATCTACGCACAGTAGATGCAGAACATCTACTTGCCAGCTGCACAGTAGCTATAAGGATGAGCATAGGCAGGTCAGCTAGAAAGCTGCAGCGAATGCAGACCAAGGTCTAGTATCTAGGATCTCCTCTACCTAAGATACCTAGGACAACACTATTAGCCTCTTACTACTTACCTAGCTATTGCACAGACCCTACTATAGGCTTAGACAAAAAGTCTGCAGCAAAGGCTTTCTAAGAATAGTAGGCTAACCTTCTACCTTTAGATATTACTATCTTCTTAGATAGCTCTAAACAGTACACAAAGGAAGGAGAAAAGCAGGTTACCTATAGCTTTGCTGTGTATTAGAATAGAAAGCAACTGCAGACTAGACGTGGCTTACTCTACTCTACCTCGCACGTCTTTGACGCT